ATAATAATAATAATAATAATAATAATAATAATAATAATAATAATAATAAAAGGAATCAGTAAATATGGGTTGCCTCCCAATAAGCGCCTAGTTTAACGTCGCGGCACGACGCAGAGTCTCGCCTACTCATCAGCGAGTACAACCTTGGTCTTCTCACGATTAATCATTCCTCCCCAATAATGCTTGACTCTATGACCATTTACCAAGAATTTCCTCTCATCATTTAAAGCTCGTAGCTTGATTGCACTATAAGGCGTGACTCTCAACACCTCAAACGGACCTGACCATCTCGATTTTAACTTTCCAGGGAATAGCCGTAGCCTAGAATTGAATAATAATACCTATTGGCCTGGCTCGAAGTGACGTGGCTTGATATGCTTGTCATGCCATATTTTTGTCTTTTCTTTATATAGCTTAGCATTTTCATAAGAGTGCAGTCTAAACTCATCTAACTCATTCAACTGCATGAGTCTTTTCTCGCATACGGCCTCAATGTCTATGTTCAGCTTCTTAATGGCCCAATATGCCTTGTGTTCCAGTTCAACGGGTAAGTGACATGCCTTCCTATAAACCAACTTGTAAGGGGACGCTCCAATTGGCGTTTTATATGCAGTCTTATACGCCCATAAGGCATCATCCAACTTTGCAGCCCAATCCTTCCTATTCACACTCACCGTCTTTTCTAATATTTTCTTTATTTCTCTATTTGACACCCATCTTGCCCACTGGTTTGAGGATGATATGTTGTAGCAACTCTGTGGCGAACTCCATATTTGGCTAGAAGGTTATTCAGCAACCGATTGAAAAAATGAGTCCCCTCATCACTAATTAAGGCATGTGGAGTCCCAAATCTCGAGAATATGTTCTTTTTGACAAACGCAGCTACCACCATGGCATCATTTGTTGGTAAGGCAATCGCCTCCACCCATTTTGACATGTAGTCAACTGCTAGCAAAATGTATTTGTTTCCTCTGGACGGTGGAAATGGCCCTATAAAATCTATCCCCCACACATCAAAAAGCTCAACTTCTAGGATGTTATTCAAAGGCATCTCATGCCTCCTTGTGATTGTTCCCGTTCTCTGACATTGGTCACACTTCTTAACGAATGCATGGTCATCCTTGAATAAAGTCGTCCAAAAGAGACCGGATTGTAGCACCTTTGCAGCTGTTCTATCTCCTCCATGATGGCCCCCATAAGGTGATGTGTGACAATTATACAACACTAATTCCACCTCTTTTTCAGGAATGCATCTCTTCATCAATTGATCAGCACATTGCTTGTACAAATAGGGTTCATCCCAGTAGTAAAAGTTCACATCATGTAAAAACCTCTTTCTTGCTTCAGATTCAATTTCAGGAGGAAGTACCCCACTCACAAGATAATTCACGTAGTCTACGTACCATGGAGGAGGGTCTTGGGTTATAGCAAAAAGTTGCTCATCAGGAAATACTTCTTTAATTTGGCCACCCTCCTCCACGTGATCGTGATTTTCCAACCTTGATAGATGGTCAGCTACTTAGTTCTCTATCCCCTTTCGATCTCGTATTTCTACATCAAACTCCTGCAGCAATAAAAACCAGCGCATCAATCTAGCCTTAGATTCTTTTGTTGTAAACAAATACCTGATTGTTGCATGATCGGTATGGACTATGACTTTTTTTCCTACCAAATATGCCCGAAATTTCTCAAAGGCCCACACAACAGCTAACAACTCCTTCTTAGTGGTGGTGTAATTCAGCTGGGCATCATCAAGAGTCTTACTCGTATAGTAGATGGAATAAAACACCTTGTCCTTCCTCTGGCCTAGCACTGCCCCAATAGCAAGGTCACTCGCATCACACATAAGTTCAAATGGTAAGGACCAATCAGGTGCCACAATAATGGGAGCAGTCACCAACTTCTTTTTAAGTTCTTCAAATGCCTTGAGGCAAGCAGCATCAAGGTTGAAAGTTACATCTTTTTCAAGCAGCCTGCACAAAGGAGTAGCAATTTTCGAAAAATCTTTAATAAAGTGCTGATAGAAACTCGTGTGTCTCAAGAAACTCCGAACACCCTTCACTGAAATAGGTGTAGGTAATTTTTCAACCACCTCCACCTTCGCTTTATCAACTTCAGTGCCGCTCCTAGATACTCTGTGGCCCAACACGATGCCTTCTTGTACCATAAAATGGCACTTTTCCCAATTTAGTAGTAGATTTGTTTCTTCACAACGGGCTAGCACCTTGCTCAAATTCCTCAAGCAATCATCATAAGAAGACCCAAAAACTGAAAAATCATCCATAAACACTTCCAAGAATTTTTCCATCATGTCGGTGAAAATAGCCATCATGCACCTCTGGAAAGTGGCTGGTGCATTACAAAGTCCAAACGGCATTCGCTTGAAGGCAAAAGTGCCATAAGGACAAGTAAAAGTAGTCTTCTCCTGATCCTCTGGGCATATGACAATCTGATTGTATCCTGAATAACCATCAAGGAAGCAGTAATATTCATGCTCGGCTAACTTGTCTAGCATTTGGTCGATGAATGGAAGTGGGAAGTGGTCCTTGCGAATTGCCTTGTTGAGCCTTCTATAATCAATGCAAACTCTCCATCACGTAACAGTGCGAGTATGGATTAGTTCATTCTTCTCGTTCTCAACTACAGTCATTCCTGCCTTTTTGGGCACACATTGAACTGGGTTAACCAGTTGCTGTCAGAAATAAGAAAAATGATACCTGCATCGAGCAACTTGATTAATTCCTTTTTCACCACCTCTTTCATAATGGGGTTTAATCTTCTTTGCTACTCCACACTAGGGTGGTGTCCGTCCTCTAAAAAGATTTTATGCATGCAAAACGATGGACTAATGCCCTTGATGTCAGCTATAGTCCACCCAATGGCCTTTTTATGCTCACGGAGTACTTTGAGCAATTTTTCTTCTTGAGTGCTAGTCAAGCTGGACAAAATAATCATGGGCAATGTCTCAGAGTTCCCCAAATAAGCATAGCGCAAATGCGTTTGAAGTTGCTTGAGTTCTAGCTTCGGAGCTTCTTCAATAGATGGCTTGGGAAAGGTTAGAGTAACAGGCCTGTCCAACTCTTCAAATTTCCTAAACCCATGTACATAACTGCAGGACATATCCAGTACTTGCTCAATTTCTCCTATCATTTCATCTTCACTATTTTCTACATCCCCAATCAATACTCGTTCAACAGGATCTACAGGGCTCATATAGGGCACTAACGATGTGGCATCACTCTCTACCACAAAGATCATGGATAACTATTCATAGTGGGCTGGTAACTTGAGTGCTCTATAAACATTGAAGACCTCCACTCGATCACCCACTCTCACTGTGATCTTTCCTTCGCAAACATCAATAATATCTCGGCTCGTGGCTAGAAATGGACGCCCCAAAATAAATGGGACTTCCTGATCGGGCTCGTAGTCTAGGATAATGAAATAAGCAGGGAATATGAAAGAACCCACTTGAACTAGCACATCTTCAATCACTCCCTCGGGATGAGCAAGGAAGCGATCAGCTAATTGTAAGATAATTGTTGTTGGGCGTGGCTCACCCAACCCCAACTGTCTAAACATAGATAGCGGCATCAAGTTGACGCTAAACATAGATGCTCGCTCCAAGTTGACGCTAAACATAGATAGCGAGCGTCTAAACATAGATGCTCGCTCCAAGATCACATAAAGCTCTCCCAACAGCATGTTTACCAATCGAGATTTGGATAGTGAAACTACCTGGATCCTTCAATTTCTGAGGTAACTTGCCTTGAATTCTGGAACTGCACTCCTCAGTGAGTGCCACAGTCTCAAACTCGGTTAGCCTCCTTTTATTTGCCATAATGTCCTTGATGTACTTTGCATATTTGGGTACTTTTTGTAAGATGTCAACCAATGGAATATTAATTTGCACCTGCTTCAAGATATCAAGAAACTTTTTATATGCGGTATTATCTCTTACTTTCTACAATCTTTGAGGGAATGGAGGTAATGGCCTTGCAACCAATTGTGGGGGTTGCTCAGCCACTACCTCTCCAGCTGGCTTCTCTGGCTCCTTAGCTTTTTCTGATGTTGATTCTATAGTGGTTGGCCTCTTATTAAAAGTCACATGTTTCCTCTTTTTAGACTGAACTTCTTCTAGTTGTCTCCCATTCCTCAACGACACGGCATTAAGGGCCGCCATAGGATTTGCTTCAGTGTCACTTGGAAGAGCTCCAGCTGGTCTAGTGTTTTGAGCACTAGCAAGCTATCCTATTTGACGCCCAAATTTCTCACTGTTGTGGAGAGGGCTTGTTGTTCAGCCATCATTTTTTTAAACATTTCTTCAAGGTGACTTGTAGGAATCGCTTGTTGTTCAACCTGAAGTGGTCTATATTGTTGTTGAGGTGCTTGAGGTCTGTATTGATTCTGAGTGCCCTGGTTTCCACCCCAAGAGAAGTTTGGGTGCTTCCTCCAGTTTGGATTGTAAGTGTTCCCATATTGGTTTGTTTGGCCCCTATTTGAATTACCCACAAAGCAGATGGACTCTGGGTTTGTGGGGCACATGTCACTCGTGTGCCCCTCTTCACATATTTCACAAAAAGCTTGAACCTGTTGTACCTGTTGCTTGTTGATACTCAAGTTCATCTGGTTGACTTGATTGGTCAGTGTAGAAATCTGCGCTGATAATGCTGAGATGACATCTAACTCAAGAACCCCTGCAGACTTTTGCACCTTGTGTCTGCCCATCTCTCCTTGCCAATCGGGATTGCTCTTGGAGAATTTGTTCAATAATGCATATATCTCGTCAAAGTTTTTCTCCAACACGTGACCCCCAGTTGCAGCATCTACCACGATCTTTATTTCAGAATGTAGCCCTTCTATGAAAGTGTGAGCTAACACTTCATTCGTCTGATTGTGATTAGGACAGCCTCTGAGTAGCCCCTTGAACCTTTCCCAAGCTAAGTATAAAGATCCCCCCGCTTTCTGTTTGAAGGCAACTATCTCACTTTTGATCTTTGCAGTTTTGGCCGAAGGGAAGAACCTTGCCAGAAATTTTCTCGCCAAATTATTCCATGTTGTAAGTGAATTAGCTGGTTCTGCCTTTAGCCACCGCTTAGCCTCGTCCAATAGAGAGAATGGAAAAAGTGTGAGCCTCACATAATCTGGAGTGACCCCATTAGTGATGTAAGTATCACTAATCTCCAAGAAGTTTAGAATATGTTGTTGTGGATCCTCGTGTGGAAGACCCATAAGTTGCCCATTTGCATGAAGCAACTGGATCATGCTCTTTTCAGCTCAAAGTGCCCAGCGATCCTGGGCTTCACTATACTGGAGGTGACATTAGCAATGCTGGGCATCGCCACCTCCTTAACAGCCATGGGTTGCTCCTCTACCATGCCCACAGGAAATTGAACAAGTGCCTGAATATTATTCGTGTCCCTTGCTTCCCTCAACCTCCTGTGAAATGTTCTCTCAGGTTCAGGATCAAAGCCTTGAAGTCGGTCTTGGCTTCTGACCCTGCACATTCAATCAAAGTTCCTAAGGTTCGAGCAACAATCAAGTAACTTTAGACTCAATGAAATAAACAATTAAAGCAAAAACTAGCAAGTAGCTAATATTCAAGTCCCCGGCAACGGCGCAAAAAACTTGTTGCTCCCAAACGCACACGCAAGTATACGTGGTCGACAAGTAATACAATGATAAGTTGAGTGTCGAACCCACAGAGACTTGTGTAAACTACTTACTAAATTGATAAAATTGTTATTCAATCCAGCTAAAATTAAAGTCCAATAATATGATTATATTATACTATAATTCTAACTAATAACTAAATTATCAAGTAACAAGTTGATTGTTGTGTATTCGGTAGAGACAAATATTCCAGGGTTGTGATCGATTCACCATTCGTATTGTGTTCTCATTAACTCTCCCTTTCATATAATTCACTCATGGTTTCTAATTAATCGATAAATGCTCTCATAGCCTTCTCCCGAAGTACTACTCACCTATTCTCAATAGATTAATGCCTATATTCCTATGAAATCAATCTATTAAGAACGTATTAAGATCACGATATTTAATTAAGTACGGTGACTAGGTATATTCCTATCCTAACCACAAATTCGCTCCCCTAAGGGTTAAGATCATTCTCTCTTCAATTCTTCTCTAATCTAAACACGGCTTTCCCAAGCATAGCATAGATAGTAAATAGAACCTAACTGTTGGCCAGACAATTAAGCAATTAAACACAGAATTGAAGAAACAACCATATATTGGTGAATTATAATCAAGGTTAAGTCAACGTTAAACAACAATATTCATGGCTAAATCACAACCCCAGAACAATGGGTGTTTAGCCACTCATGATGAAATCAAACAATTGCATAAGTTTTGAATAATTGAAATTACTAGAAAAGATGAAGAAATCTGAGATGTTCTTTGTGTATTTTTTGCTCCAAATTGCGTCTCTCCAGGCTAAGCTCTATCAAAAATCCTCAAAATAACGTTTTTATATGTATTTATACCAAGTAGGGTTGGGCCCAGACGAAAACACCTTCTCCTGCATGAAATAGGACTCTGGCTCTATGAAATTTGTACATCCGCGCTGCACCATGCGGCGCACTAATGGAAATTATCAGCAGCCTCAACTTTTCGCATCATGCAGCATTTTACACATCTGCGTCGTGCCTTGCGGCGTCCCATACGGCGCGGCAGTGTAATTTTCTCAGAGTGAACTTATTTCGTCCTCTTTTAACATCACGACTTGGTACACGACTTCCGAACATGATCCCGGCTTAATGTCATAGGCTTTTACTCAGACTTCAAAGCTCCAAATCACTTGAATTTATTCCATAAAACGTATATAGATCGGAATCACTCTTACAAGGCATAAAACACATATTTAGTGCAAAACACTAGCTATTAAAGCTCAAACTAAATTAAAGTGCAGTAAATTAGAGTGTAATAAGCGACTAAAATACACAATTATAGCCTTTCATTAGCCAGCGTGAAGTGAGCCACAAAGTCTGCCAAGATTTGAGACTTGATGGTTGTTCGGGGTTGATACACAATATCGAACCCACTAATTTCTACGACTCATTTTTCCATTCGCTACGAAAGCTCGGGTTTATGCAAAATATTTCGAAGAGGATAAGTTGTTACAACACATATGGGATGACATTGAAAGTATGGTTTTAGTTTCCTATTGGCGCTTATCAAAGCGAGTGCTAACTTTTGAAGATGAGGATATCTAGTTTCGGCTTCACCTAGGGTCCGAAAAATATAATAGATAGGGAATTATGTACCTTGTTCTTCTCGGACTAGGACTCCACTTACCGCTATCTCTGATACTGCAAAATATAAGTAAAGTTGTTTGTTTGCCCTTAGCATGTGAAGCAGCAGCAGGCTCGACAAGTACCATTTAAGCTCCTCCAAGGCCTGTTGGCATTCAGGAGTCCACGTAAAGTTATTCTTCTTCTTCTGCAACAAAAAAAACCGAATGCTCTTATCGGAGGACCTCGAGATGAATCTTCCCACGGCGGCTATGTGTCCTGTTAACCTCTACACGACCTTTACTTTGCCTACTACCATGATATCCTCTATAGCCTTGATTTTGTCGGGGTTGATCTCGATTATACCATGAAGCCAAGAAATTTGCTAGAGCCGGTCCTAAATAGGCATTTTTCTAGGTTGAGCTTCATGTCGTATTTCTTCAGTATACTGAAAGTTTCCTGCAAATGATTCAAATGGTCATTTGCTCGCAGGGACTTAACTAGCATGTCATCAATATAAACGTCCATAGATTTCCCTATTTTTTCTTCGAACATTCGTTTTACTAGGCGTTGATAGGTTGCACCAACATTTTTTAGTCCGAATGGCATTACATTATAACAGTAGGTACCATATTTGGTGATGAACGAGGTCTTTTACTGGTCTTTCAGGTTCATTCGTATTTGGTTGTACCTGGAATAGGCATCGAGAAAACTTAGGATCTCATGGTTGTCCGTGGCATCGGTCATGCGATCGATATTAGTCAAGGGGAAAGAATCCTTAGGGCATGCTTTATTTAGGTCTTTGTAATCTACACACATTCTAAGTTTGTTTCCCTTCTTAGGGACTACTACTACGTTCGCTAACCATTCAGCATATTTTACTTCCCGGATGGACCCTATTTTGAGAAGCTTGGTTACCTCGTCTTTGATGAAAGGATGTTTGACCTCAGACTGGGTCTTTTTTTTAGCTTCACTGGACAAAATATCGGGTCCAAGCTCAGTTTATAGGTGGTAATTTCTGGTGGGATGTCAAATTTAGATGGGACCAAGCAAAGCAATCCATGTTAGTTTTAAAGAATTAAATAAGTATTCTCCTGAGTTAGGGGCTAGCCTCGTGCCCAGGTATACCTTTCGCTCGGGCTAATGTTCGACTTGTATGATTTTTTCCAGCTCTTCGACCGTTAACATAGTGGCATTGGAATCATCAAGGACTATGAAGGATCGAGGAATTCCGTAGTCATCATCCTCCTCAGTCCCTTATTTCCCTGATTGGGTCGAGGCTGGTGTCTGTGGTTGCTTTTTGACCTCATACTTTCCCTTTGAACTTGACCCTTTCATTGATGAGAGCGCCGATATTGGTATCACTTCGTCGATGGCAAACATTTCCTTGGCGGCAGGTTGATCCTCGTAGACTGCTTTGACTCCCTCTGGCATTGAAAACTTTAGAACATGGTGAAAGGTCAAAGGCACTGCCCTCATGTTATGGATCCACGGTCTCCCGAACAGGGCATTATACCTAATATAACCCTCGATCACATGGAACTTCATTTCGTAGATGGTCCCAACCACGTTTATAGGCAAATTTATCTTTCCTTTAGTGGTTTCGCATGCAATATTGAAGCCATTTAGAACTCGAGACGCGGGTGAAACCTGATCCTGTAGGCCGAGCTGTTCTACGACCCTCGATCGAATTATGTTGGTTGAGCTACCTGGATCAATCAAAACACATTAACTTGAGTCTTATTAATAAGTACAGAGATTACCAGTCTGTCATTGTGGGTTTTTCGATCCCTTCTGCATCCTCGTCATTAAAAGACAAAGTTCCTTCCGACACGTAATCCCGAGGTTGCTTCTCCCTTGTGATCGACACCTTGGTGCATTTTAATACTGGTCCTTGAAGAGTATTGATCCCTCCAATGATTATGTGAATCATGTATAGTGGTTCTTCTTGCTCATTTTGTCTACTGGAATCTCTCTTTTTGAAGTGATTCTTGGCGCGATCGCTTAAGAATTCGCAAAGGTGCCCCTCATTGAACAATCGGGCTACTTCCTCTCTTAACTGCCTGCAATCTTCTATTTTATGTCCATGGGTGCCATGATATTTGCATATTTCATTGAGATTTTCTTAGGCCAGGTCGGTATGCAGAGGTCGAGGCCATCTAGTATCCTTGATACGTCTGATGGTTGATACAACGGCGGATGCATCTACGTTGAAGTTATATTCCGACAATCATGGCGCTTTTTTGGGCCCGGCATCCCTACTGAAACCACACTTTCTCATGAGTCCCCATGGACTTTGACCTCAATCAATTCTCTGCTCATTCCGTGCAAATTTTCACCCAGACCCGTTGCCTCTACAGTCTCCGTTATACGGTTGATATTGATCTCTTTTCGACCTTGGTTCTTGGTTAATATCCCTCTTGATTCTATCTACGGGCATGTTAGGATAAAAGCACCCAGAAAGAGTCCCCAGTTGATTATCCTCGACCCTAATCTTTGACTGATACCGATTATGGACATCGTCCCAAGTGATAGCTGGATACTCGATAAAATTTTGCTTCAACTACTGTGAAGTTATGGAACTCCAGACGTTGAGGCATTGAGTGAAAGCTTGAACAGCCCAATCGTCGGTAACCGGTGGCAAATCCATTCGTGCCATTTGGAATTGAGATACGAATTCCCAGAGCATCTCGTTGTCCTTCTATCTTACCTTGAAAGATCCAACTTTCTTGTTCCTACCATAATGGCTCCGGCATGTGCCTTTACAAAAGAATCTACAAGCATAACAAACGAATCAATAGAATTAGGCGGTAAATTATGGTACCATATCATAGCACCCTTCGATAGAATCTCCCCAAATTTCTTCAGCAAGATGGATTTGATCTCGTCATCTTCCAAGTCATTTCCTTTGATAGCACACGTGTATGAGGTGACATGTCCGTTTGGATAAGTCGTCCCCTTATACTTAGGAATCTCGGGCATACGGAACTTCTTGGAAATTGGCTTTGGAGC